ATTTTGGTGAAAATCCGCTTACGATTCAAATGATTGTGATAGATTAGTTCAACAAATTATGTTACTAAATAAAATAAAATTAATATTATTGTAATATAAAAGGGGTAATATGATTTTGAAAGGGGTAATTTATATGTATGATTAAAATTTGTGAAAATTGGGGTTGAATTCTCCTGAATGGACTTTTAATGACTTACGTCCGTCAAGAAAACTTATTTGATGATAAATATATTTTTTATCTTATTAATAAGTACTTAAGTCCATTATTTTTTTAAATCCAAAAAATACCCTTAATTATGTTATTCTGTTCAATAATAGAAACCTTAAAAACCTTGAAAGTACCTTTAAATTAATTTTTTAAATTACAAATTATTATACCTTAATTCACTCATAAATTGAAATTCAAATTTATACTCTCTCTCTCTCTCATATCATCACTCCAGTAACATAAATCTTTCTCCTTAGATATCATTTCTTCCTCCATAGCATCAAAATTAGCAGGGTTTGGAACATCATGAATAACTACCATATCTCCTACTGCGTTATGGTCATTATGAACTTCTATATCGTTGATTTTCAGAAAAAATGGTTGAAAAACTTGCTCAATGTATTATTTGTTTGATCCTCAATTTTTTTTATTTTTTTGATAAATAATCCCCAAAATTTTTCAATTTTTCATGATACTATGTTTTTTGTTTACTATTTTACTATTTTTTTAATTGACCTTGTTATTATTTTTTTTCATGTTACTATTTTTTATTGAACATGTTATTACTTTTTTAGTGTCACTTTTTTGGATGCTGAAGAATTGAAGGTTTCTTCTTTTGGTTATGAGTTTGAATGTTACTATTTTTATTTTCAATTTTGTTCAATATTTCATATTGCTATTTTTTTTGTTGAACATGTTATGATTTTTGTTGAAAATGTTACTATTGTTATTTTTTTAAAATATTAATTTTGAATGTTACTATTTTTTATGTTTAAATGTTACAATTTTTTTTGTCTTTAATAGTATTATTTTTTGTGTTTAAATGATAAATTGTTTTTTGTATTTGAATTAATGTTACTATTTTGTATTTTTAATGTTGTTATATATATAAAATAAAGTTGAGTTGAGTTTGAATTTTGGAGACAAAAAAAGTCCAGATCGTTTTGAGACAAAACATAAACACAGATCGTTTTGAGACAAAACATAAACACATCTAACGGACAACGTAATCCCAACATAAAAGACGGTTTAAATCATCTCAAAAATTTTGATCTAACGGTCTACAGTGAATACCAAATTTTATTTTCTGGCCCAACTCAGGTCTTTCTCTCTCACACGCCTTTCTCTCTCATTTCTGCCTCCCTCTCCCAATCTATCACACCTCTATCAGATGAAATTCATCTTAAATCTTCTCTTAATCTCAAATCTCACTCATAATAGTCGTATTAGGACGACTACAATAGAGAGACAGACGAAAGACATAGAGAGAAGGAGCGGAGAAAGGCAGACAAATAAGATCCTCTGTTTCAAGTACGCTTTGTATATGCACAAATAACCTCTGTTTTTAGTCTCAGGTTTCGAATTTGTGATTGCCTTTGTGTTTAAAAATTCGTGTTTTGGTTAGGAATTAGTGAATGAGGTTAGATCTAGGTGATGTAATTCTTATATTTGCACCCATCTCTCTCTCACGCTTCTCTCACTATTCTCTGCCTCGAAACTAGACCATCGCTACCACCACTATCCTACCCATCTCTCTTACCCTCTATCCCAACCTTGATGTACAAGTTCGCACACACCCACACACATCGAACCCAAGTGTTTGTGGTATTGTTTCAATGAGTTCGTTATGTGGATTTATCTATTCTTTTATTGTATTTTTCATTCCCTCTTTCACAGTTTGGTTGAACTATGTTTTCCATATTGTAGTGAAGGGAGTGAAAGAACTACTAATGAAGAGCCTATATTTTCATGTTGGGAGAAAATGTGTTGAGCTTATATTTCTAGCTGATTCTAATTCAATTGGGTATTCATGGTTAATTTGCAGCTCTTTGTTGGTAACGATGCAGATGAATTTAGCTCAATTTTGAAGCAGGAATGAACTTCAAAAATATTGATCACTACTTGTCGCTTCAATTCTACAATATATATTCCTCTCAAGTTTTATGCTTCTTATTGTAGTAGAGGCAACCACTTTACATGAAAGATATATTTGCATCCTTGATCTGTTTCCATGTTGGACGGTATTATTTGTGACGTATGACTGTCATTGATTACCGAAGATAACTACTGATGTGCTCCAATTACTATTGTTTTTTTTATCACCTGCAAAGGGGACCTGCTTTTATATCAGATCTGTTCTCTGTGATCCCAAGTGCTCATTACTACAAGAGAGGAACTTATGAATTGAAAAAAGTGTTGGTTTACATTCTTCTTCCTCATCTTTCCTTCTCTTTGCTTTCCTGGTGGTGGATTTTTTTATCATGTAAAGTTTTACTCTGAATTCATATCATCATTGTAAGGGGTAGAAATTGCTATGGGATTTCAGCCCTCCACTCAAAGAATTCCGGCTAACCTGGCGGCACTGAGCCCCAGTAGCCTTTACCTCTCTTCGCCAATAGGACCCTTTCCTAAGGCAATCCTACATCGGAAGAGAGTTGTCTTTCCCCCTCGCATATATAAGCCATTGTACTCAAAGGAGAAGGTAGATTACTTTGGAGGATCAAGAGAAGACCACTCCAATAGTAATACTGTCTCAATTCAAAACCCTCCTCCAATAGAGCATGAATGAACGATTGATTCGTGAGAAGCTAGGGATAAGATTGGTGAGTATCTAAGCATAAACTGTGACTAGACCTAAGGAATATCAAAGACTCACCAAGTTATCCACCCTACCTCCTCCTTTGAGTGCAAGGGCTTATATGCGAGGGGGAAAGACGACTCTCTTTTGATGTGGGATTGCCTTAGGAAAGGGTCCTATTGGCGAAGAGAAGTAAAAGCTACTGGGGCTAGGTGCCGCCAGGTCAGCCAGAATCTTTCAAGTTGGGGGCTGAAATCCTGTAGCGATTTCTATCCTTTACAATCATCTTATGATTATCATCGAAATATTGTAAAGTTTTACTCTGAACATACCACTTCTCTCTTAGCTCTCTCATTTTCCCCTCCCTCTCCCTCCTCTGCCTCCACCCTTTCATATCATCAACACCCACCACGTGTTTGATGGTTAGCTTCAAAGAATATGCAGTATCAATTTCCAGGTGTAAATCATTTGTGATTTATGGTAATTAATGGAACTCACGAAGTGGGTTGAGATATACGATGGTCATTCACCTTCGACTGGTTTAATTAAGTGTTAATTCATCTAATTTAGTTAATGGGTCAGATCCTAACAATTTGACTGAATAATCCTAAATTTTGAGTTGGATTTTTCAATCATATGGGTTAGTCAGGTAGATGTGAGTTCTTGGTAGTTCACCTGCAGTGCTCATCTGGTGTATTTTATAATCATGTAAAGTTTTACTCTGAATTCATAACATTATTCCTATGTTATGGTATGAATGTTATTTAAGATGCTGCTTCACTTGGGATATACTATCTGTTTAGTTTATTGCCTCAACAAAGTTCTTGTGTGACTAACTTTTTAGCATTTCCCATGGGATGGATGCATAAACAAGATCAATTGCTGGTTAAAGCTAAACAAAAGCAAGAGGTATGTTAAGCGTAGAATAATGATGCACTCTGTTTGCTTGCTGAAATTTGGATTGGCTCCTTTATGTACATCATGAGTCTTCCTTTTGGATGGGTAAGTTTACATGCAATTTGTTTTTGTATTGAGATGATTTCTGTTATACATTTTTCTTTCCATGGGCAATTTTAGTTCCTCTCTCTGATGTTTTCGCAGTTTTGAATTGTCCATTTGCAATATTCAATTTCTTCAATTCTTTGTTTGCACCAATAATAGTTGTCTAGCATGTCACTTTTAACTGGTTTTTGCAAACTTTGGTGTCTTGAGCAGACTGGCACGACATCAATATCGTTGATGATTTTAGTTATGGAGAAAGAGCGTTCAAGAATTAGTTGCGGGTGAAGGGGATATGGTGATTATGGTTTGGGATTTTAAGGGTTAGTAATCTATTAAATTGACAGAAAAATAGAGAGAATCAAATTAGATTGAATTTTTGCTTCCAAATAATTAATTTTCATATTTAATGGGATATATGATGTGTAACTGTTTTAATTCCCTTTTTCTTTATGTTAATGAGCTGTTTTTTTTTTTTTTGGATTGTTACGAAAGGTATGGAGTTTTTGGATCTTAGTACAAAGATAAAGATGCATATAATGGACAAAGTGTTTTTAGATTTACTTCAATGGCAATTGCAAGTTTATTGACAATCAACTTTTAGTCCCGTTGTCTCTCTTTTTTATTTATTGCAATTGAAGTTTTTTTTTTTTTTGGTTATATAGAATTTTTAGGCATTGACAACTGTTTGAGATTTTTTTATTTGTTTCTAATTACAATGCTCTTTTCTTAAACTTTGATTTTTTATTTAACACAGTTAATCACACTACAACTGAAAAAACACAACTATTACACAATGGACAATGTTACCATTTTTGGTCATGTAAGTAACTTATTCCATAGATTTCATTCTAAGCCTCTCTTATTTGTTTCTATAAAAATGTTTTAATACTTGGTACTTTCTTTTCACCTATCTTATTACAGATGGATACGGACCTAAACCATACAATAAGCTAATGTTCTTCTCACTTTTCTTATTGTTTATCTTATTTTTTATCAGTCAGTTTAGCTCCAAAGTGTCATTGAAATTGTAGAGTCGTTTGCTTCGACAAAATAACATTTATGTTGTTTTCCGTAGTAAACGTGTTCTTAATCCTCTTAACATTGAGAAAGAGGTACCACATCACACTATTTTTAGTGTATTGTTATTAATGTCTTTTGTTATTAATTATTTTTAACTTATCTACATTCTTAAAGGAAATAGAAAAGCTTGTGATGGCGAATGCTAGCTCAAAAGGAAAAGAAAAGACAAGCTGTTCTGGTAAAAGAAATGAAAATACAGTGATCCAAGTGGTATGATTAATCAATTGCTTACACAATCATATCATTGTCGTAATTGTTAAGAAATTATTTAGCATTCACGAAAATACATATATATTTTTTATCCTTTTTATTTAGGAAACCAATGATAATGTTATATCAAAACGTCAATTGGCACAACAGGCACAAAAGGAACGGGAGAGATTGAAACGCCCACCCATTCAATCTAGAAAGAATATAGACGTTGTGATTCACGATGATTGTGACGTTAATCGCCTTGGCATAGTTGAGGTAGTACCATGTCTTATTTTTTTCGTGTATTGTCAATAATTTTTTAACGAATATAATTTTTTGTTTATCCGTTTGATATTTTGAAGGGGAGAATAAAATCTAACTCGGTGGCGAATGTGAGCTGATTACACCCAAATAATAATGCAGTAATTGTAGCACAACTTTGGGATGTCGATTCTACAGAAAGACAAACTAAAAGAATAGTAGAAAGAACAAACTAAAAGAATAGTAGAAAAAACAAAGAAACTAAAGAAAAATATTAAATGATTACTAGAGAATAAATATTAATTTTAAATACAAATTAAAGTGAAGCAAAGTGACTAACAGAAAAATATTCAAATTTGACAAACAGTAAAACGTCAAGAATCCTTTGCACAAATTTGATATTTTAATTATTTTTAATTCATTGAATAACTCAATTGAGAATTTAATTTCCAAAATTTCCCATCAGTAGATATAGATTTATAAACCAAGATTAAACCAAATGTAACTCTTTGAAAAAATATTCACCACTTTTACAATGCGTAAATTATTTTTACTATTAAAAAAATTCAACGACGATAATATAGTTAAAAAGTAATATTACAATAAAAAATTAAATCAATATAGATAAATAATTGATCCAAACATAATCAAAGAGCTAATCCATTCAATAGAAAAAGTATGACTGAATTCATAAACAAAATACAACAATAAATTGAGAATGATAAAATAAAAGAGTTTTACTAATTAGAAATCAAATGCATAAATTAAAAATAAATAAAATATCATCTATTATGCATATTCATCCATCACCTTACTTGAGAATTTAGTTACCCATAAATACGATGGATAACAAAAATCTCCCAAAAAAAAAAAAGGAAAAAATGGAGAGCCTCGGAATTTTTCCTGACCCTGATCCCTGTTTTTCTTCCAGCCGCCACACACCAAAAGAAAAGAAAAGCACAGCCGTCCAACATCAAAAGGGAAAAAGAAGTTGGAAAAACCTAAAAGTCAATCTCCTTTTCAAAAAATATATTTTTCTCTCTTTTTCATTTCCGCCTTTCTTAATTTCAACTTTTTTACTTTGGTCCCTAAAATCCTAAATCTTGTGTAATACGAGAAAGATAAACCCTAATAAAAATTATGAGTGTTAGGCCCACTTGATAGTTGCATCAATTTTATCATTTTTACTCTATGGATTGTCATCAAAATAAAAACAAATATAAAAGTCGAATAATAAAGTCCCAAAAATGTTAAGTATAAAGTCAAATTGTAAATTATCTCTCACCAATCCATAATACAATATTTGAGATTTAAAATATTATAAAATTATGCTCAAATATCTCTCAGTGTGAATAAATATTAATTTTTTTTATCAAAAAAGAAATATTAAATTCAATAATATAAATTATATCTAATTATTTTTATTCACATTTTAGCATTTTAACCCAATAAAATGATATTTAGAATGCACTTAGTGCACTCATCATGAGCTCTAAAAGAAAAGAAAAAATAAGTTGTTCTTACAAAAGAAAGGAAAATATAGAGTGTCAAAGGGTATGATTGATCGATTGCCTATGCATTAATGTACTTCTATCAAATATTCAACTAATTAACATAATTAATGTTTAACTTTACAATATAATCCAATCTTTGTATGATTGGTCTGAAATTGTTAGAGAGATGAAAATAATAAATACAACTCAGCTTCTACGATGGGGATATGCTAATGAGGTAACATAAATCTTATATTGTTGCAATGAAGTATACAATTTTTTTAAGTAATATATTTGACTAATATTCTTTTTCTCTCTTTCTAAAAAATTAGGTGATTGTGTAATCACTTAACTTGCGGTTTTGCATTCGTGTTGATAGATAGACGTTCAGGATAGTGATACAGAATAAATATAATCACAAATGAATCGTGTAATTATAGATTGAGTTCAATGTATTAGATTGTTCTCATACTATGATTTTCTTCGGTGCACTTTGGTTTATTGTTTTTTGTTTCAATTTTGTTGTCAGTGAAAATGTGGGATTGAGAGTTTTGAGGTAGTAGAGAGAAAGGAGAGGTGAGGGGGATTGATTTTAATTACTTTATATGCAATAGTGCTTCAATAGTTTGCTGGGTACACTTTCAATGCTTGGAACTTATTGGAATTCAAGTTACCAAAGCTCAACTAATGTTATTTTTGAGCAATTTTTTAGATAGCCTCTTGAATGCTTTAACATTTCGTAATTTCTTTTATATTTATTTCTATGGTGTGCATTTGTAATTGAAAATTAATAGTTATATGTCAGATCAAATTGATTGAGAATGAGGATTTACACTTTAACCATATAGAGAGAGTGGTTATTTGATATCAAAAAGCGTTCGTTTATTTGATATGCATCTTAATTAATTTTTTTTTACTATAATGGGCAAATTAATAATATACAATGAGTAATAGCTTTTTAAAGTACGATGATAAAACATGTATATTGTGTATATGTTTAAATTTTTTGAGTTATGTTTTCAGAGGTAATTTTGTACATTTTTTATATATTCATCAGCTCTATATATTTATTGTTATCATTATGTGCACCGTTTTTTTCTCTTCCTAACCTATATATGGATATATATAGATAATAAAGAGAAATTTTTTTAATGTTAGTCAAACTCCTAAAATTTAAGAATTTTTAATTTTTAGTTTTATTTTATTTTTAAAAGTAAGAGATAGTCTGGTAAAATTAACAAAATACGGACTTCATAATAAATAAATTTTTTTGGTGGACTTAAGTCCAAATAAGTCCATCAAAAGGACTGATCTCTAAATTTCTCTTGAAATTATTGTAAGGGACCGATCTGCATCGTTACCACATTATTGGCCCAATAGTTACAAAGTAGATTATTGTGGATGTGGGGTCGGGAAGTATGGTGGTATGCTACCAGCAAAGTATAATGTCAAATAACCGACACATTTCGTCAGTATAATGCCAAATAATTGACACATTTCGTCAATAAAATGCCAAATAATTGGTACCTACCCTACCACGACCACAAACCACATAACGTTCATCTTCCACATGGATTCCCTTTCTATCTAACGTGCTCCATTCATAATGTAGCATAGCAATCATTCACAGAGAGGATTATGTTCTCGAAAAAAAATTTCAGTATCATACCGCTAAGTTTTGTAAGTTTTGCGAGGTGATATACATCTCACCTGATAGTAGAGTTCCTCCGATATACCTCCCAAATTTTACATTATGTTGACATTGTAGACACATAATTAATTTACAAGTACTCCAATATACCAAAGGACTATAGTTAATGCCTTTAATGTTGACCCATGAATTGAGTGATCATACTCATTTCATGTGACTCAGGATGTAATGGTTGGTGGTTATTTTTTCATGCATGAGGAGAAATATCATAGAGAGAGAAATATAGGTTGTTTGAATTTGAACCAATACAACTCTTGGAATAGTTGTGATTGTATCAACTGTCAGTTTTGTAAACTCAATTTTTTAATGGGTAATTTTTGTATTTTATTTTTAGATTTACGATGTAATAATGAAAAGTTGAAGTGTTAGATAGTATTTAAGCTTATCTTTTGAGAATTTTGAGAGGCCGTAGAAAAGTCCAGAAATCTTTGGGAGGTCTGATTCATGCCACGTGGAAAGCCGACCAGACAATAGTTGATTTGATGTATGGTGGCGACTGGCCATGGAATGGTCAAATTGAAGGACTTTTGGCTAGAAAACAAAGGCGGAAAAAGGAGTAATAATTGCTGCAAAACAGAGTGGTTTGTGCATAAAAACAGAGGAAAAATGGGAGAGAAAAATTGTGTTTTGTAGAGAAGAAAAACCAGCAGTGTGTCCCTGAGCAGAAGCTCCGTTTGTACGTTCTTTCTATAGCTTATTGTGTGTTTCTCTTGCTGGAAAAACAGGATAGTCTTCTCCTTTATATTGCTTGAAATTGTGATAATTCTTGATGAAATATAGAGGTGTTTTTTAAGTGAAATTTGGGTGATAGTGTAGAAGATTATTTGTCTCTGTTTTACTTGATTTTGTGTCCCTTAGTGATCTAATTTACTTTCAATTTCCAACACCAACAGTTTCAACCTTTCTAAAGTGTTGAATGAGTGTCTTGCATGTCTATAAATATTAGTACAACCTCATTGTTTCGTTTTATTTGTGACGGTTAATCTTTAAAATTTCAAAGTTCAATTATCTGTGTTGTATTGAAAATTACCACCCTTACTAAGTGGAACCCTAATTTCAACAGCAATAAATATTTAATATAGCAGTGATACCTAGTCATCAATGCTTTCGTAGTAATTTCAAATGGATAAATTGAACCCCTATATGAGGTTGCAATTACATTACATTAATAGATAGTTATCAAATTTTGTAGGATCTGCTTACTCATTAGTTAGATTTTTATTGAATGTTGATATGACAGGTGATATCACGGTCGCAGCGAATATTTCTCGTCCAACACACAGCAGCATACTTCACACGGCCTCATTCAAGCACGCATCTTCTTCTGATCATTAACCAGAACGAGATTAGAAGTTTAGATCATTCATAACATCTTCTACAATAGTATATATATAGAGAGGGAGACAACCTCGTTAACTACAATTACTCACACTAAATTTACTTTCAAATTCCCCTGCTTCCCAGTGAGATCCATTCAGAAGACCCAAAGCTCTCAATCAGACATATTCATGGATGTCATACCAGAAGATCTCAAACGTATTCGAATTGGCAAACCAGATGGACAACGTATGATTGCTAAGGGAGAGGAAGAAGAAGAACCACTGAGTCCTATGGCTCGTGGTTTCATGAACCTGGTTGTAACATCTAACATCTATACATTACTAAAATTGGCTTGAAAACCCAAATACTTGATATTCAGGCTTTCAAAGCCAATCTGGGGCTTACTCTGGCGAAACACCCTCGTTTCTCTAGTTTGCAGGTATGAACAACAAGATACCTACATACACATTTGACATAAAAACTCCATATAGGTACAATCATCGCAGATTAAACTATAAGGCATGAGGTTAGCCCCATGATGTAACCAAGCTGAGTTATTGTTATGTTTTGTGTTTTATTTCCTATTTGAGTACTTCTTTCTTCAATTTAAATCTCTTGACTATTGACAGTACTACAATCATTACAGGTTGCAAGCAAAGAAAGAGGAGGAGAGATTATATGGGTTCAAACAGAGGTGGACATGGATAACCACCTTATAGTCCCCCACATTGATTACCCTGATGAAAAGTTTGTCGAGGATTACATCTGCAACCTGAGTAAATCTACCATTGACAAGTCGAAACCTATGTGGGACTTCCACATCCTCAATGTCAAAACATCCGACGCCGAGGCGATAGGTGTCCTCCGCGTCCATCACTCCCTCGGTGACGGTGCATCTCTTATGTCTCTTTTTCTTGCTTGCACTCGTAAAACATCTGATCCTGAAGCTTTACCAAGTAGTACGACTGTGACAAAAAAATCAAATTTGTCAAAAGCTTGGGGGTTTGGTTTTGTTGTGATGACGATGATGATGGTATGGAACACAATCGTTGGTTGATGATGTTTGTACTCACTGCATTGTTTTTCAAGGACACGAAAACCCCTCTGAAAGGTTCGCCAGGTGTTGAGAACAATCCTCGACGCATTATTCATCGAACAGTTAGTCTGGATGATGTGAAGTTTGTGAAAAGAGCCATGAATATTGTGAGTTTTGTTTACGCATTCAGCATAAATGCATCGTAATGACTAAAATAAATCAGTGATAGAATTTATACAAATTCTTATTCATAAGTTTTATGAAAAATAATGTATACAATAATTTCATGTGATGAAAAACGAAATACTTGGTTATGAGTTTGCAGACAGTAAACGATGTAGTTCTTGGA